CATCAGCGTGGGCTCGGCAAAAGTGCGCATCAAGGGCGCAAATCGACCGCAGAGGGGGCGCTCGCGAGCACTCTTCTGAGATCTAAAAATGACAAATGGGACACACTACGGTCTCACGGACTTAACGGACACGCGCACGCGGCAGCCATTGTAAGTCCACAAGACCGAAAGTGCACATGAAGTGTGCCATTTGGGACAGGGCCATACATGACAAGCCATGTGCTCACACCAAACGTGACTTGAACACAAGCACATGGCCAGTAAAACCAATCACCAGCCATGTGCTCACACAAAACGAGACATGAACATGCAGCTAATGAAAACACTCATAAGCCACGTGTTCACACAAAACATGACAACATGAAAGCACACAGCTAGTGTAAAACACAAGCTGTGTGCTACACAGCACAATACACGAAAGCACATGAAACAAGGCACAGACAAGATAAAACAGGTGTGTCAGGGCTCTGTCACAAAACCAAGAGATAGACTAGACAGAAGTGACATAACCCTGACATAGTACCAGTGACACTAAAATAACACTTATGCAAATGTGAAAGTATTAAATGAGCATAGGGGTTTACAGATTGGGAACATAACCCAGTAGGCCTATAAAATGAATGATAGCATCGCAGTGCTCTTATTTTAATATAAAGCACACTCCGTTTCTGAACTGGGACAGAGTTTTGGTGTCTTCAGTAGCCTATAGATGTTCACTGCACCTCATGAACGTTTTTGTGATCCTCCAGCCAAGCGTAGTACATCTCCACAACATAACTAGAGCTGCAGGCCGCCAATGAAGGCTCAGGAGCCCCGCTGGAACAGTTACGGCGTGGGTCAAAAACTCGCTTCCCTGTCCCCACGTGCCCCATCATCCATTGGCTCCTGCTTCTTAGAGCACCAGCCAGGGACCTTAGCTGACTCATGTCTGCAGACATTCATAAATAGGAGACAGCAAGGTATTATGGCAAACTTAATCAGAGCTGTTCTCAGAAGTTCCTGTGAATGTTTTAAACATTTTTAAAATCAGAAAAAAATGTTTGAGTGATTTAACCCAGAAAACACCAATACCAGCAATCTAGTGCTGCCTAGGGTCTAACCGCCCTGTTATTATGTTCAATGTTTGGCGGGTTAAGCTATGATGAGCATGGGTCTTCAATTAAAGAGATGGTCAAACAATGTGAACCGTTTAGAATTTAAGCAGGCCAGTTGTGGTGCGACTGATTCGCTTCATGGAATAGCCTAATAAAAATCTCATGTGAGTGTATTTAATGATATTTTCCAAAATTACTATTTATTAGCCCTACTTTACATTTAAAACTTAAAAGGCACCTTTAAAAACATCCTCGTTGATGCCGCAAGTGTTCTTGTGGATAACCTTGCGCTGTTAAAATGATCAGAGCTTCAAGCTAGTACCGGCGGTTCATAAAAGGCTTTTAAATAGAGCTCGTCCTTCATCTCCACCCATTCAATGACAAATTGATTTGAACGATGTAAAATCCCGTTGCCAAAACCACTTCCAATAGCCTACATTTATGCGATGCAAATATATGGGCGAACAGTCGTAAAGATGCATCGATTGGGCGATTGGTTACAGCTGTTACCCATCCATGTTTCCATTCGCTCGACACACGCGACTGAGTACACGTAGCTTCATCTCTACGTCATAACAAACAAATTTCACCTTGAGCTGCTCGCAGATGAAGATGGTCCGGTTGAGATCAGATGCGGTCTGTCGTGATTCAGTTTCTTTTCTGTCCTATAATCTGTCCAACGTCAAATCCGTCCCATAATCCGCATGCAAGTGCTGAATGCGGCGCTGCAGTTGGTCACTTTCAGCTCTAAACTGCAGCATCTAAAATAACAGCAGGTTTAGAGTTCGTGTTTAATTTATTTGACGTTTTATCTTTGTACAGTTTTGCTATCATACTGCATTTTATGTTGCCATGAACTAGGTTACTTCACACCTACTGTATCAAATGTATCCAGTTCAGAACAATTGCGTAAATGGACACAATAAATAATGCACTATAAAGCACCTGTGCTGTGATGCCTGTGGGTATCAGATATATAACCCTGCATATCAGAGTTGGACATCAGAATTTATTTGAGAATGCATTTGATATTGCTGAATTTGAATGGTAGATGTAGAGTTGAAATTAAAGTGTACATTTTGTGTAAACATATATGAGATAGACACATTAGATGATTAAATCATAAACCAAAAAAATGATATATATATATATATACAATTATATCATATATTATCATAGTATAAAAACAAACGAAAACCATCAAAATTATAGAACTTGGAGACTCAAACGAGTTGGACAATAAAACCACAATAATTTATTAGTATGGTGTAGGGCCTCCTTTTGCGGCCAATACAACATCAATTCGTCTTGGGAATGAGCGATAAAAGTCCTCCAGAGTGGCCAGAGGGATTTTGAGCCAACAGTGGCCAGATTACTATGCTGGTGTAGGAAAACGTTTTCTGAATTGCTTCTCCAAAATACCCCAAAGTGGCTCAAACATATTTAGATCTGGTGACTGTGCAGGCCATGGGACATGTTCAACTTCACTTTCATGTTCATCAAACCATTCTGTCACAAGTCTTGCTGTGTGTATTGGTGCATTATCATGCTGATACACGGCAACCCCTTCAAGGTACAATGTTTGAACCATTGGGCACACATGAACGCACCAGAACGGTCCGATAGTCCTTGGAATGCCATGATATTGGAGCCCAAACCATCACTGATCCACCCCCGTTCACTCTGGGCACACAACAGTCCGGGTGTTAAGCCTCTTTGGTGCTTTTCCACACTGTAACCTACGGATTTGAGAAAGTCAGCGAAGCTGGACTCATCAGAGAACATATTGTCCACGATTTTCATTATTGGCATCAATGAAACTGACATTTGGCATTGGCAAAAGTGACCAAAGGTTTGGTTACAGTAGCCCGACAAACAGATTTGGTGGAAACTGGACAGTCGGATACCGTGCCTCTCGATACAGTACATCACAAAGACTTGCTGTCCTGGTCACAGATGAGCCAGCGAGAAGTGCACCAACAATTTGTACTGTTTTGAACTCTATGTCTTCCATTATGTTGTATGGATGGCATTATTTTATGTACAGGTGCTCTGCTCTTACTGATGGAATGTAAAATCAGTGAAGATTGGCCACCGGCCAGGTGCATATAGACGCGTGAAACCTCCAACACTATATTGACCAGTGTTTCATCTTCACTGTCCAACCTCTGTACCTGATGATTCTACGACACTGGGAAATGCTGGGACTTGACTCTTTCACTTCTTACCATGCTTTCAATGCACTTTACTTTTAATAAAGGTTAAACAGTAATTAACAGACACGTATATAAAACCCACAACCACTGTGTTTAAAATTTAATTAAACATTTATAAAAATTACTAAGTTGTGCCAGGGTGTAATGAGTACATTGATATTTTCAGTAACCTCTAATTCTTAATCACATTGGACAATTACGCTTTCCTAATTTTCTTAAGGATTGTGCAGAATTCACTTGAACATGTGGCTTCAGTCATCTAGATTGATGGTCGTCATGTTGGCGGATTTTACAGTCTGAGCTAATTGCCTTCCCTCCCCCTCAGAACCTCAAAACTAGTTTCATCACTCTTAGTGGCCAACAACCAGAAAAAAGAAAGCATTGTCATCAATCATCACTGGGCTGCTATCATGGCTGTTTCAGAAGTAAAGCAGACATGATTAAAATACAGCATTAAGAAAATGCCAAATGCATGATTTTCAGGATCAAAGTGTCATGAGTGACCTTTTTATATGTGGAAAAATATACAGCAATTCAGACTCTTAAATAAATAGAGATCTTAACAATAGATGCAAACACAGTTAGTAATAGTTTGCACAATTGTACTATATGGAGCAGCACTTATTCAAGCTGTGACCACAAAAAGTGCAGCGTAACAGTAGAGTAGTACAAGGTGCCGTATGAGTCAGAGGTTCATATCGTGGAGCTGTTATACACGTCATTATAATAAAACATCTACATTGGTCCTTCTCTGCTCTTGATCAGAGCTATAATCGAAACTAACAAAAAGCGTCTTGTAACCGAGCACAAGTAAGGTCATGCAATTATAAGTGAAAATGCCATTTTTGTGCTCTCTTGACTTCAGCTCTTGAAACAGACGGAGCCGAGAGCCTACTTTACCAGGGATCTTATTAAAGGCAACCGTCATTTAGAATGTAAAAAAAAGTAAACGTGTTTTGATACTTCCATGCCCACAATTTCATTCTCTATGAAACAAATGTTGACAAGAATGTAATGCTTCTTAACTCATTTCAGTGACATTTAAATTTCTATTAAAGTCTGACCCTTTAAGGACCTCAGTATTTGAGAAAACAAGGGGATCCTGCATCCGTTTTAAACCAAGAGCGCATTTATAGGGGACCATCTTTTGGTCCTCAAGTGGTACTTGTGTTCCAGGTTGAACTGATGAAAATGTTCAAAAGCATTTGAGGATGATTAGAAACAGCCATAAAGGTGGTGATCAAAAGAGGTCAGTTAAGTCAAATTAGAACTAGAAGTGGCATTATACAATTAAGGTGTATAAGTGCTGGACAAAGCTACAATCTAGGTCTATTAGTCTGGTTCTGCTAAAAAAAAAAGAGAGAGAGAAAAAAGAGTGGTATGATTAGAGTTGGACTGAAGAAAGAAAGATTGTTTTATATCAACTGAAATGTGACTTAAGTGAATTTAAAAGATACACATTAAAGATAAATCGTAACAAGACTGTAAGGATCATTTTTCATTGTTATGACTTGGATAGATGGCATTGAATTTGCAATTGAGCATAAATAATTGAACACATAAAACAGTAGTCTACTGGCTCTGCACTAATCCATGTGTCAACTTGGGTAAAAGCATTAGCATGTTTTGATTAGCATGCCAAAAGATGTCCTGAACATGTATATAGCAAGCAGAAAGAAAGAAACAACAATTTTCTGAATCAACAATTTTAATTATCAAATCATAATAAAATAAAGAGCAAAACATATGAAAATATTCACTACCCTTAAATATCAACCCCATTTCTTAAAGGTGCCTTTGATCAAAACAATAATCGAAACAGTAAAAACCTTGACTGTAATAAATTGCTAAAAATGTCATGCAGAGACTATATATTTTTACACAATTTGAATTTGCAGCAGTTCCATCAGTGTGATTATACAAGTTGTTTTTCAACAGATACTTTTTCCTTTTCACGTCTTTCATTATCAAATCTTTTCATTTTTCAGCAAAACTTTTCCCTTTACGGCTTGTGCAATACATCTTGCAATCAAGTGTCACGGGGGACCTTACTGTGGTTTTCATGCATACTTTGTTAATGATCTCTAAACACTTTATTCTGAATCACTGTTAGTTTCTGGATATGAACAAAAACATTTAAAAAGACTACACCTTGGTCACCCAACTCAAATGGATCATTTAATTCCACAAGATCATGCAGTAAATTTGATCCCAGGTAAGTTTGTGTGGCATTCTAGGAAAAACATCCCCGAGATCAAACCTAGATGATGTTCATCAGAAATAAGGATTTACAGTCAGAGTGACTATTGCTATACTTCCTGTCGCCTTATTCATAGTGACTTCAACCTTATACTTACTGGTAGAAAAGAAAGGCATAATGTGCTTCCCTATGTCTCAGACAATCACCCAAAAAGTCTTGTCTAAAGGAGAAGAAAGCACTGAGGCATTTAGACAGGTTCAGTTAGCCGTTGGCCAGCATTAATGGCAGTCTGCAGGAGAGGGGGAAGGTGCAGTGGTCAAGTTGCTGTCGCTGGGGCCAGGGTTGGGCTCCACTTCCATATTTGTACTGACCTTATCCATGATGTACCCATAGAGATTGATGTTAGGCCACTGGCCATGCTTAGACACTACATTGTAGTACTGCTTTAAGTGGAAGTACAGATCGCCTAGGAGACAGAGAGAAAGAGAGAGAGGAAGAGGAAAAAAAAAAAGATTTGAGGGATGGTGAGCATCATGGCGTCAGCCAAGTCCAGAGCCATTCATAAATCACAGAGCACACAAGTTTACTGCCATCTCCACTTTAGTACAACAGATGGCTGACAGCGTTTTCTCAAAAAGGTTTCAATAAACGTCAGAAAGGAAAAATGGGACAGAAACAGAGAACTTCACAATACTGAAGAGCACTAATGGTTGTATCATTTAATTATGTAAAACAAATGGCTCAATATCGCAGGAATTTTGAAATTGTTACTGTAAATGTATTTCACATGTAATTAGCCAGTGTATTTTTTTCTTACATTTATCTATATAAACATTTATTATATAATAATTAAATCATATTTCACAATGGTACTGTTTTACTGTAAATGTATAGCCTTGGTGAGCATAAGAGATCTTGCCAACCCAAAACTTTTGACCATCTGTCAGTCTGTATATTTTTTATTCATACATAAACAATATATACAATTACATCCACCTCCAATAAAACCAGGACATCCATTTTTATAATGTGTTAGATCTTATACAGAATGAACCACACGTAGCAGGCCTCTTACCGACAGTGACGCAATTGTCTTTAAGAAAGGTGTACAAGTCGTGCACGTCCCTCATGAGTCTTTCATCTCCAAATGTGAAGTAGGCCACATCTCTTCCTGCTTCAGAAGCTGCCATCAACTGCAGCAGAGCTGGAAGGACAAACAGACACAGTCGATTCAAACAGCCACGCAATCTCATTTCGAAATCACAGCGATTTGGCTCTTAAACCTCAGCGATTAAACCTTTGACAAAATCACACCGGAACATTCAAATCTGCGTTTGCGCTGCCGCTGACCAAGAGAGAGCAGTTATCATGTTTAGGTATGAAACAGCTTTTTTTCAACCACACAGTATCATTATTTCTGTGTTCAAACATTCAAATGATCAAATTGATAAGTTTATAGTTCGGATATAAACACTGTCGACAACAAGCTAAAATTTCTAAAGCCATAAAAACCATGTAGGAAGCATTTCATATTTCGTTCTTATTTCTCTTTAATGCACGCATCGCTAAACAGAAATGGCATGCATACATTTACGCATGGATTCCTGTCAATGGGAATATGGAATATGAAAGGGGAAAAAAACACAATGTAGATTTACCCCTCCCACCCCCCATTACCACAATGAAGGGTCAATCAACCGCGGCATGCTCTATGATATATTGTTAATATTATCGGAGGGTCCCCAGAAAATACTGATAGCTGCCCAACCTAAATGAATAAAATATGGTGTAATACATCATTGATGGCATAGTGTGGATTCTTTAGTTTTGCTTCATGTTCCTAGCAGTAGAGAAAATGACTGACACATCCAATTTGTTTTTAAAAGGTAAATAATCCATGTCTAACAACCCCTATTAAGAGACTCAATCTTAGTCACCCAGCTTCAAATTGAGTCTAAAGATTTTAAATATTTAAAGAGGTTGAATGTAGCCCACTGATGAATGAACGTTGTTCAAATGAGGGCAACCAATTACAACGGGTAATCTGTAGTCAAACCAGCGCTAAACTAAACAGACTGGCCCAAAATAACCCAGCATCAAGATGAATTTACTGCGTTATAAGTCAATGGGAGAAATTAACTAGCTCCACATTCAAGCACACATGGTTTCAACAATGATGAACTATCAAAGATGGAATTATCTCATGAAACGGGCTTCCATCCTTACAACAGAAAATGATCAGCTGGCAAAGTCACAAGCTTGCCATGAATTTATGGATGAGGCTGGAAAATCAGTTGCACTTGTAATGGAAAAGATAAATGTGTGTCAGCTGATCAATAACAGGAAAGTGGCAAAAACATGTCTTGGGTCAAAAAAAAAAACAAAGCAAGAGAGCTTCTTTGTTTCGTCTCAATGCCAAAATACAACAAAACCAGAAATTAATACAAAAATGTAAATACAAATCTAGAGCTAAATATACTCAACTGACTATTTACATTATAATGTTGTGATGGCTAAATAACACAGCTTTGATTGAAGGTTTTATTTATTTAGTCAAAAAACAATATGGTCTTTTAATATCAGCCATTTATGAGTTATCACCCATAAACATGACAATAATTAACAGCTGGAATATCAGTAATGGTGAGATTTTTAACATTGGTGCATGAAATTTGAGAAAGAAATGTCCTATAAGAGCACCTTGAAAATTGTAGCTTCACTTTGTGATGACCTGCATGTACCTTTGAGATGAGTGTCGCCTCCAAACGCACCGCATCCCCAGTTCCCTGTGGCAACAGCCGAGAGGTTCTGAGGGCTTGTACCATGCCGCATGAAACTGCAGAATGCCTGGAAAAAGAAGTCATCCTTTATAATAGAGAAACAAATACAAGCTAATCACTGCAGAATACAAGAGACTGACAAGACGACTCGGTCATGCCTCGTTAAATTCTCTAAGCAACAGATTGGCAAGGTTAAGAGAATCAAAGGCCATTAGAGCTTGACAGAGGTCAAGGATTTGCCATTTCATGTCATCAGTGTGAAACACTTTGCATGAAGCCTTTGCTGACCTTGTTTAGCTCCCGGGTCATTTTCTCAGGCTGAAACTGTTCCATGAAATTCCTGTATTTCAGTGCATCCATGGCCACAATCTCTGTGCACCTCCGCTGCCACTCGTCTCTGAGCATGGGTAAAGAGGTTTATTTTATTTAGGGCTTCCCTCATTTTTACTATCTTGGATGCTTTGTTATATTTAGGACAGCTAAATACATTTTAAAAAGTGCAGGAACCCATTTAAGAGGTGTTTCCTAATGTTTTTATCATCAGAAATCCATAATGTTACCTGGGTATCTCGTCTTTGTGATTGTCTTTCCATTTGAAGCTCTCTGCATAGCCAGAGTACTTGCTGTATTGCTCTGTGCCTGAAAGAAGAGCAAATAAATAAAACAAATGCATATAAGTGGGTCAATTCCAACAACAGTATGCATAACATTTTCTTGTCCCCACCATATTATAGACAAAAATCGTTTCAGTTAATCACAAAATTAAAATTAGTGAGCATATAGGAAAGAGAAGTTGTAATGGGTTTTTACATTTTCAACTTTCTTTAGTGTGTAATGTTACTGTTTGACGGTCTGCGAAGTTACAAAGCACAAAGGTCACTGCAAAGGGAGTAATTCTCTATATCAGTAAGACCGGTTTCTGAACTCCCTGAAAAGCCTCGATTATAGTCTTCAGTTTTCGTCCAGGAACGAACACATCACAATATCCCTCATTTAAATAATTCCCACCCAAGGTATACGCAAAAAAAAAAAAAAAAGCCTGGATGAGTTGCGTTAGTAGTCTGTTGAAAGTCGAGGATATGACTTTCATGAGGATATGAAACGCACTCAAAAGCAGTTGATCAATCACAACATACTGGTCCAGTCGACCAATAAGAGCTTCTTACTGTGCTTGTCGGTATGAGGGGCTTCATAGAGAAAGGAACTAAACAGGGTTACGTTTCCCAAAAGCATCCTGAGCTAAGTTGGTTGTAGAGAACATTGGTGGCAATGGTCTCCACAATCAACATGGGCTCACGATGATTTTGGGAAATGCAGCCCTGATGTGCTGCAAGAATATAAAAATTGTGATTTTGTTTTTTTACATTCATGCATGAAAACCTATCAGTTCCATCAGAAACAGATATACACTGAACAAAAATTATAAACGCAACATTTTTGTTTTTGCCCCCATTTTTCATGAGCTGAACTCAAAGATCTAAGATCTTAGAAGTATCTATGTACACAAAAGGCCTATTTCTCTCAAATATTGTTCACAAATCGGTCTAAATCTGTGTTAGTGAGGTGTTAGGTGTGGCATATCAAGATAGTGATTAGACAGCATGATTATTGCACAGGTGTGCCTTAGGCTGGCCACAATAAAAGGCCACTCTAAAATGTGCAGTTTTACTGTATTGCCGGGGTCCGGGGGGTCCTGGGCTGGTGTGGTTACACGTGGTCTGCGGTTGTGATGCCGGATGGATGTACTGCCAAATTCTCTGAAACGCCTTTGGAGACGGCTTATGGTAGAGAAATGAACATTCAATTCTTGGGCAACAGCTCTGGTGGACATTCCTGCAGTCAGCATGAATGAATGTGTTTGGGATGCTCTGGATCGGCGTATACGACAGAGTGTTCCAGGTCCTGCCAATATCAATCAACTTCGCACAGCCATTGAAGAGGAGTTGAATCTCTTTTACTGTGGCCAGCCTAAGGCACACCTGTGTAATAATCATGTTGTCTAATCAGCATCTTGATATGCCACACCTGTGAGCTGGATGGATTATCTTGGCAAAGGAGAAGTGCTCACTAACACAGATTTAGACAGATTTGTGAACGATATTTGAGAGAAATAGGCCTTTTGTGTTCATAGAAAAGTCTTAGATCTTTTGAAAAATGGGGGCAAAAACAAAAGTGTTGCATTTATAATTTTGTTCAGTGTATTATGTATATTTGACTTCTTATTATAACTAGAAGCCCTCTCAGGCACAGTTTTCCTTATCGATTTTTTTCAGGACACTCAAATCAAACCATTTGCTTAAGCAACCATATCTTGATGTAAAAAAAACACTTCCAGACACTGCATGTCCCTTCAATCACGAAGACCTCCAGAATCCTCCACCCTCACCTTGATTTAATTAGTGTTTTAGTGGCACTCTGACAAAGAGCAATCACAAGATTAAAATCCAGTCCCTGTACTGACGCTTCAGCATTTCTGCCAACTGTACTGATGCAGAAAGTGTGCATTAAAGAGCCCGTGTCATGATGCATTACTGGCGGGATATGATTTGCAGCAAAGGCGAGTTGCATTGCAATAGAAACGGAGATGACCATGAATATTTCGTTTGTTGTAATAACCGTGATGGAATGGCTGGATCCATTAGAGAAGGCCGTTCCCGCAGTCATTCATTGTGGCCAGAGGTAATACTATTAAGTGGAAGGAGAGTGCAGCTGGGGTGAGAGAGAGAGAGGACGTAAGTGAAAGAAAGAGAAATGACTAATATCTGAGCTTGATTCCAAGTGAGGGTATTTTGTGACAGGGTGGAATGCTCCCAAGTTCACATTGACTTTGAGGCTGATTTTCTAGAATTTTAACTCACTAGAACAGCTCTAAAAATGACTTCTCAATGGTGTATAGCCACTTCTGCTCCATAACTATCAAATCTTTTCTGGTGTTTCAGGAAATGACATATGGGTTTGAAAGGCACAAGATTTTGATTGATTAATGGTTTGTGCATCTGTGCAATGGTTTGTGTCCTGTGCTTTGTTTGGAAGATGTCAGAGGGCATGGGTGGATGAGAAATGAGCATGACAGCAGGTGTGAGAGACGGCAACAGCCAATCACAGCGCAACATTTCTACATGGCTGTGACTGCACCCGGACCTCAAAAATTAGGAGTGTTCGACTATGCGAACGATTCTCTGGACCAGGTGAAAGAATTTGACTCAAACATAGTACATACAGACCAACATGGTTTATTTAGTCAATGGTTCTGAGAGATTTCTTTCTGAATTTAAATGTAGGTTGTAAGTTAAGCTGAACAATATTCTGTTATGAACACAGCAAGAGGAAAATGCTAAAGTTATTTTGCATCCTGTCTGCATCACCAGGTAGGAAAACAAAGACAGAGGGCACATCCTGGTGACAACCTTGGAAGAATCTTTTTTAAATAACTAGGTAGTTTTCATTTCAGTTTCTCTATGCTGTCAGTTTTTCAGGATCAAATCTCCCTTGAGAGATGCTCACAATTTTGAGGAACATGTCTAACACTTCAGGGTTGTAGTTAACTAAAACCTGAAATAAAACAAACTCTAGCTGAAATTCAATATAAAAAACTACATTTATTTAGTTTAACTTAAAGAAATAGTTCACCCAAAAAAATTAAATTTTTTGTCATCATTTACTCACCCTCAAGTTGTTCCAAACCTGTATGAATTTCTTTCTTCTGCTGAACATAAACGAAGTTATTGTGAAGAATGTCAGTAACCAAACAGTTGATGGACCCCATTGACTTCCATAGTATTTTTTTATTCAACTGTTCGGTTACCCTTATTCTTCAAAATATCATGTTGTTCATGCAGTCAGCAGATGTGCAGTCATCATATGTTCAGCAGAAGAAAGAAATACAGGTTTGGAACAACTTGATGGTGAGTAAATGACAGAATTTTCATTTTGGGGTAAACTTTAATGTACTAAAACAAAACTATATAAAAAACCTATATAGACAAGTTTTATAAAAACAAAACAATTAAAGTGAAAAATTATAATAGTATCACAATGCTGCTAAAATAACACTGTGATTATTGGATTGTCACAACAACAAAATTTCAATCGTCAAAACCAATATAATTAATCCATTTAAAACACTGCCATGTAATTTTCAAGTATTTCTCGAATTAAGTAAAACTTGCTTCCAAGTAATTATTAAGATTCTAAGCAATTATTTAAATGGATATTTCACCTAAAAATGAACATTCAAATAGAATGAAAATAAAAGAATATATATTAATTAATGCCTCAGCGTTTTTGTTCAAACAATGGAAGTCAATACCAATATTCTTCAAAATATCTTCTTTTATGTTCCACAGAAGAAAGTCAGTCATAAAGGTTTGGAACAACATAATGGGGAGTAAATGATGACAGTTTTCATATATATATATATTCTTATCAATATTGCTGTTAAATAAACAATGCAGAGTGGCAGTTCTTTTAGGCAGCATTTATTTGTCTTTTGACAAATTAATTTTCACATCTATTTCCATAACCATCGCAATCATGTGTGATTACGATATAAGTATTTTTTTAAAAACTTTGATTGAGCCAAGGAGGTAATAATGTTCTTGTCAATCATTCAAACCGCTTCACAAACTGATTCATTACCAAACTTATACTCAAAAGTCTTTAAGAATCTATATCTAGTAGTCACAACACACACAGCCATGAAGTAACCAAACTGAGTCGGCACTACTTATACTGAATTGAATGGTACTAAATTTGTTTTGGTCTTTTCATATCAATTGAGTTTCCTTAGGTGTGCGTATGGTTCTGCAGCAACAGAGGTGGGAAGGGAACAGCAAGGTTCAGAATCAGATGTTACAAACAACGAGTGAGGAAGTGAAGAGACAAACTGTTTGTAATGTATCGGATACAGGACACTTACTCATGACCTGGGCTCCTCTCCAATGCTGCCACTCAGTCAAAGAGCACAGTTCATAAAGGAGGAACAGAGTGATGGAAGAATAGCGTAGGGACAGAGAGAGACAGAGGAAGAGGGAGAGATATGAAGTGAGAAGGAGGGGGGGGGGGGGGGGTGGGGGGTTGTCACTTAACGTGTTGACTCAAGCACAGTGAGTTGGAGGGTGAAGAATGGGGCAATTCAGCTAGAGAGAAATGAGGAATAACAGGGCTGCCCTGAGTCCAGCGTGAATCAATGTAATGGATTTACGTTCAAATTGGATGAGGAGGGAAGACGGGGGAGGGAAGAATGGAGCTGAATGTATACAAGCTTCTGTGAGCAATGGCAAATTACTTGCGGCAAAAATATGCAATGTGCTACTCAGCTCGCTATATGCAGTGTTAGAGAACTGTGATTACAGCGACTGACTTCATTAGTGGATGGAAACAAACCTGATCTCATGATTATCGGAGCCTGCATCAAACATAAATACCTAAAAACATCCATGATTACTCTATCCTAATTGCTGGTCTGATCCCACAAAACAAGCCAAATTATTTTCATGATGTTCATTTCTATTAATGGTTTTTGAATGTCTACGATCTAAATACTGTGACAGTGGCTTCATCATTGTGAATGAATCAAGATATATTCTTTTCTTTTCATTCTATTTGAATTTTTTTTTATTTTTAGGAGAACTATCCCTTTAAATAATTACTTGGAATCTAAACACTTACTTAGAAGCAAGTTTTACTTAATCGAGAAATACTTGAAAATGACATGCCAATGTTTTAAATGGATTAATTATTGTATTGGTGTTGACAGCTGAAATTGTGTTGTTGTGGCAATCCAATAATTAGTGTTATTTTAGTCGCATTGTACAGTATATATATACGCATTGTATATATAATATCGCTATTATAGTTTTTATTTAATATTTTGATTGTTTTATATATATATATATATATATATATATATATATATATATATATATATATAGATATATATTCCATTTAGTTTACCTTAAAAGGCACAATATGTAAGATTTTTTCGCCACAAGAGGGCGCAGTTTCCAACAACAAAGGCGTATGTTGATGACGCAGTGATGAGCTGAATGATGGGACTTGCTGTCAAGCTGATGGATCTAATAATGTTTATGGATGAGTGCAAACATTCATGTTTTTTAACATTACAGTGGTATGAAGCAGGTCGCGATTGCTAAAGAGACAGATATCACACGCGAGTCCCGCGGATATAAAGGAATAAGGACATTTAATTCTACTGAACTACCCGCAAGTGCTGGATTACTCACACAGGTCAGTTTATTAGACGAATTAAACTTGTGAGGTAAAGCAGCGCTGCTTCACTTGGTCTAGCGTTACACTATCACACTAAACGGCATTTAAATGTGTGTTGAAAGTTATAATGTTAAACTACGTGTTAGTTCGTTTGCTATACGAAACTAGCAGTAAGCTATATCAACATTAGAATAACATACTGACCATATTCTAACATTTCATCATGTTGAGCTAACGTTATATAACATTGATTTGTTTTATGTACATTTGCTCACCTGTCTAATAAAGCTGTCAAGTCGTGACTCGTGAAGCTCTGTCAAGTCCAAGTCGCGGACGTGGAGCTCTCGGCATCTCAAAAACACCACGCTGATATTGATTGATAAACATTACGCACTACGCAGTTGTCCACGTCTGTTGCCATGGTTACGTCATGGCTATGGCAGTATGAACGGAAACCGAGGATAGCGCGGATATTGCGTCATTGACAGGCGACATTTTTTTCCGGGACGGCCACTTATTTAAAATTGGAATTTCTCTGAAATAAAAAAATCTTTTGAGACTTTTGGGATATTGTAAGTACACAACTGCAGGAAATATATCACACTGTGCAAGTGGTTTTTGGATATTTTATTACAAAATTCTTACATATTGTACCTTTAAATGTACTTTATAAAAAAAAATAACAACAAACAAAATTCATAAAACTTTAAATTTAAAGTGAAAACGGGGGAATTTTGACTTTAAATTTAAAGTTTTATGAATTTTGTTTGTTGTTAATTTTTTTAATTTAGTACATTAAGGTAAACTAAGTGGAAAATATATATATTGCCTTGGCAACTAACTAAAGTTCTTTATATTTTATGTTATTTCAGGTAACGAAAATGCTATCTATCTATCTATCTATCTATCTATCTATCTATCTATCTATCTATCTATCTATCTATCTATCTATCTATCTATCTATCTATCTATCTATCTATCTATCTATCTATCTATCTATCTATCTATCTATCTATCTATCTATTTTAATGAAGCAGAATCATTCAATTCCTTGTGATTCCCATGCCAACCAATTATATAATGAGCCATAGGTTAATCCAAGTACAAAAATATTTTTACAATTTTTAGAAAACAGGTGTTTGAACAGCCAGAAGGGAGGAACAAGACACTTCAATGATGGCTGACATCAATCAGACAGGGATGTGTGAGGGTGTGCAGACAGACGGGAGGGAGGAGTGGACTGTTTCCAGTCCTGTGCATGTGTGTGTGTGCTGACCTGTGATGATGAGGCACTCGTCGTGGTCCAGGGCTTCCGTGAAGAGGCGTGATACGATGAGCTCAGGGTTGATGAGGAAGCGTATCTCCTCCTGGACCAACCCCATACCTGTCACCCCTCCACCCACCATCCTGTTTGCAAAGTCCACCTGCAGCACAAATAAAAGCACATATTCATCTCTAGCAAAATTGTTCAGCTGGAGTAAAAAAAAAAGAAACACAATTTCATCCTTGAACATGGTGTGAAATTGTGTTACAGTATAGAGATCTATGATACTTTAGAGACTGCAAGCCAGGCTGTTTGTCCATGATGTCACCAGAGATTAAAAGTTCAGGTAAGGGACAGGGTGCTAAAACGCACAGGGGTGGAAAATAGAGTTCTGTGCCCGGCTGTGCGTAAAACTACAAAAGATGAGAGAATTTTCTGCACAGTTCAGGATACCTTAAATTTGTACACAATTTTTGGTGCATGTACAAATCCAAAATTAACTTTTTGCTAGACCTGCTGATGGCCATTGAATTAAGAAAATGTAATGGGCACAAATATTTCTCATCAGCCACGAAATTGTAATTATAATTGGAGAATAAAAAACAAAAAAAAAACAAATAAGTTCTGCAAAACAAAAGAAATCTGGACAAAAAAATCATCTTAGATAAACGTCTCAAAACATTTTTCAGATGTAAAACACAAAAATACATATAATAAAAATCAATAAAAATAATTTAACATTGTAATAAAAAATAAACATTATTATTATTCTTATAAAAAATGTGATGAAAATGGGTTTTTTTCCACTAAGGTGAAACAAAAATAAATAATAATAAAAAAAATTAAAACAAACAAAAAAAAAAATCAATAAAAATAATTTATAACATCATAATAACAACATTACAAATGTCTGATTAAATTGAAATTAAATTTGTTGATGTAAAACAGAAATAAATGAATAAATAAAGAAAGAAAAAAAAAGAAACATTTTTATTATAAAATGACTGTCATGGTTTCTGTCCATTGTGACCTTGCCAAGGTCAAACACCACTCCCTTTATTCCGCATAATGGATCTATTAACCATTAGCCATAAGTCATTGAAATCAGATAACTCAAATATGTTCACAGCTTCCAGGCAGACCGTATAAGCTTTTGTCTTATGTAATATTCATGTATTTTTAATTACGAAATTCTAATTCTAAATACTACATTATAAAAAAAAATGCTCTAAACAAAGAGCATGAGAAGGAAGGAAGACAGACAGACAGTTATACTGCATGAGTGCTTGTTTTGTGGCACTGCTAAATTCTGTTGTGAAAGATATTTCTTCAGTGCTGTCTCCTATGCATTTTTATATTTCAAAGACTGGGAGTGTGGGCAGCAGTGCTAATATTGGCCTTGAGAGCTTTGAAAAGGTAAACAGGGGAGTGCAGGACCCCTTTGAGGCTGTGTTTTGCAGGCTGTCAGGCCGGACTCACTGGGCCACAGCCTCTTCAGTGAGATGGAGGAGAAAAGGGGAGGGAGGTTGGCAGGCTGCCAGATGATCTCGCTGATCAGGTCACTCAACTCCAGCTCTGACTGCCCCGCCTCTCCTCAGCACTACTGACAACCTGTCAGACCGTCCCACCCTTCCGGAAACATCCGTCAATCCAGCCGGCAGGACCCCGGGCTCCTGGGACCTCCCAGGGCTGTTCATGTGTGCCCATCAGCTGTCAGGGTGTGCCCTGCCCCGACTGGGGAGAGATGGGAAAAGGAGAACAGGGCAGAGGACCCCGGCAGACAGACTCTGCAATGAACTCGAGAGGTACAGGGAGGGACGTGATCGGGGCCGACGGATCTGCAGAACCTCAGTCAGCTGGGTCAAAACTGAGATGTTTTTTTGCTTTCCTTGGATGGCACTCATATTGGGTCTATCTTATGCATGTTGCGCCCAATATGAATATGATATTCAACAGGAAAGTGCCATTTGTGCTCCTCATAAAGGGTGGGAAAAACACCACCACCACCAAAAAAGCTGATATATAGAGATATATCAACAAAAATCCAGTAATTGTATTTAGTTGCTATATTATCATATATGCATATTCATGGAAAAAAAGAGGCACCCATTTCATAGAATATCCCAATGAAAGTTTGGGGAAATAATGTGTGAATGTGTGTGTGTTTTCTCATTTAAGACAAACTGCCTTAATCACAGCTGGAACAGAATGAGCACATTTTACATAAAAAAACACTTAACAATTATGCAGACATGTCTTCTTGAGAGAGGAAGGATGACAGAAACTTCCGTGTCAATCAAAGTAATCTCATATTTGACAGATGTCACAGTGAAAACTAAACTACCCATGCATGACATTCTCACCTGAAGCATCCCATAGCCCTCGTTCTCTATGGTGCCCTTACAGGTGATATGAAGACGGGTGAGCTGTGTCTTTGAGCTAAAGGTCAAAAAGAAAATTCCATCAAAACACTACAGGCAAAATAACCACTTACTGAAACAAACTTCATTTACATGTACTGTTAAACAACTGCATCATTAATAGAGGCAGGCTAGAAATGCTATAGTGAACTAGGAGTGGAAGGTTACAATCATGACTTGGTCTAATAAAACATTGGTACCTAGTCAACCGTTCTCTGAGATTTGTTTTCATGATAATCGAATGTAAAGAGTTTTATCTCTAAAAACTGTTTAGCGTATAACGCTAGTAATGGGGGCATATAATAAGTAAAAAGAAATCGCTAGTTTATACCACTAACAAGACTCAAAATAGCCCCACACTAACACAGTAACATAATGAGGGTCCCTACATGCAAAACGAAGCATTGAGAACTTTGTAAGTGTACAGACCGTTTAATAAGAAGATTTTTTATGAAGACAGTCCACTTCGTGTATACAGACAGGAGCCATCTTTGGAAAACAGTCTCGACTAATCAAACCACGAACGCCATTCATACAGTTCAGAAGTTCACTGAACTTCATACAGTTCAGCTCACTTAGCACGTCGTTCGTGGCTTGACTAGTTGAGACTGTTTTCCAAAGATGGCTCCTGTCTGTATACACGAAGTGGACTGTCTTCATAAAATATCTTCTTATTAAACGGTCTGTACACTTACAAAGTTCTCAATGCTTCGTTTACATGTAGGGACCCTCATTATGTTACTGTGTTAGTGTGGGGCTATTTTGAGTCTTGTTAGTGGTATAAACTAGCGATTTCTTTTTACTTAATAGATGCCCCCATTACTAGCGTTATACGCTAAACAGTTTTTAGAGATAAAACTCTTTACATTCGATTATCATGAAAACAAATCTCAGAGAACGGTTGACTAGGTACCAATGTTTTATTAGACCAAAGGTTCATTTTGCGCCGGAGTTCTCCTTTAAGCAATTTGAAATGCAACCATCTCAGCGGTAAGATTTCTCTAATAAGCAAAACAGGGAGGTGGTTTTGCACTGCCAGGGGAAGCAATTGGCCAGAGTGACTACATGGTGCCAAAGTTCATTTATCAAGCACAAAGGAGTGATCTCTGTGAGCTACTTTAAATGTCAGAGAGCCCTCTAGCTGTAGCACATTCAAAAATAAATGTGAGACTAGTACTCTTTTTTTTTAATCACTATATGCTATTTTTCTACTTTTTCCTTGTGAACTATAAAGATAAACAAAATAAGCTTTATTGATCCCTCAAAAGGGGGATTTTTAATTAAATAAATAAAAATAAAAATAAAAATATAATTATACATAACATAAATCTTTATACATACATCTATCCTAAATATAAGTCATTGAAAAAATCCAGCAACAACACTGTACACTAAGCACAATGAATATGCATTTAAACGTGTGTACCTTTCCCATTTTGGAATAGAGCTCAAGCACTGTCTTGTGAATGTGACAAGGCCAGTGGGCACTGCAAAAGTAATAAAAATAAAAAAAATAAAAAAAAGGATTATGATAAACATAATTTGTACCACATTAACAAAGTCGGAGCATTAAGTGTATATTTGTACAGTTGGGTAGATGCAGACTTACTTGATTCAGTGACTCTTCTGAAATAGCAGAGCAAAGTTTTGAGTTTCTCAATCTTTCGTGATGAATCACTTTCAAACAGTCTATAGAAAGATAAAGATACACAAGTGTTGATTAGGTACATACATTAGCAAAATCAATCCACACGTGTACTTTCTGAGGGCAATTATTACACTGTCATAAACGACTATTAGAGGGAGACGATTAGCTTCATATATGAGCTCCAGCGCTAACTTCTGCAGGTTAGTGCCTCATTCTTGGGAACACGTGAGGAGAAGTAGGCCTTCCGTGTGATCGGACTTTGCCGGTTCATCTCACAAGTCCTGTTTGCTCAGCAAGCCTGCCTGTGATGGGCTCTCTGTCAGGACAACAATGATACGGACCCGCGCCTGCGGGCTCAGCGCTGCGCTCGTGTCCCATTTCAGAAAGGATGGAGAGAGGAACACTTCTTCATTCTTTTAAAGACATTAAGGAACTGCAGGCTTGCTTTTAAAAGTCCCAAATAGCAAAAGCCTTACAGTGATCAGCCGTGATGCCTCCCCTAACCCAGCAAATGGCTTTCACCATTTAGAATACTGCAGTCTTCAAGCTAACCATCTTCCACTTGCATTCATCCTTCCCCTCACTTGATGTCAATGGAATAAGCAGGAAAAAAGGGTGGAACAAATGAAATGAGAGGAAAAGCTGATGCACTAAAAGCCCTTTGGGAAGGAAGACAGAGTTATTGAAGCTTCCTAAATATAGTCTTCTTGATGGTGTAGCAGATTTTATGTAATCTAGCCTGGAAGGCAACCTGTTGTTGACTGAAAATAGCTGCTTTTTTAGTTAAACTGATTGTTGACCTTTAATATGAGAAACATGTATACGAAAATATGATTTGATTCAACAGGACAAACACTTATTAAAGGATTTTATCCACCTGATTTCAATAACATGACAAGTTGGGAATTTCTGGGGCCAAAATGGACAAAAAAACAGAAGGGGTGGGGGGTGTCGGTGGGTACACGGTGTTGATTCCTGTGAAGAAGAAATGCACAAGGGAACAGTGCATGACAGACAAAATGAGTTTTGTGTCCAGGTCTAAAAATCTACAAACATGTTAGTGATTTGCCAATGTATAAAACCCATGATTATTTGGCTAAAGACTAGGTTTTTTTTTTTTTTTAAATGAATCATTGTAATATGCTGAGTTGGTGCTGAAGGGGGTGGATTCTGGAATCCAATGCTGCTTCAATGTATATCTAATGAGTGATTATAATCAAGGTATTAATCAATATTTTTCCTTCTAAATATCACAAGAGTTGAATGACTTCTCTAGGCTTATGAGATTTGACTTTGTTATAGAAGTTACCAGTGTGATTACTGAAATGTTATTATAAATGTATTCTCTTATGTCTGTATTTGATATCTGAATACAGTAACAGTGCTTGCTCATTTAGCCCGGCTTCCAGAAATGAATAATGGACTTCTTCAACATGTCTCTCTCTCTCTCTCTCTATATATATATATATATATATATATATATATATATATATATATATATATATATATATATATATACATATACATATACATATACATATACATATACATATACATATACATATACATATACATATACATATACATATACATATATATATATATATATATACCCTATAAAAACAGATGTATGTATTGACTGTAAATCCCCTTACAGTGCACAAGTAACATTTCTTATTATTATCAATGTTGAAAACCATGACAAAACTATTATTTTTTTGTGAGGAAAAAGTGTTTCTCAAAAGAACAGCATTTATTTGAAACTGAAATCTTTTGTAACATTTAATGCATCCTTGCAAATTCAAAAATTCAAATAAATATCTTATTGACCTCAAACTCATGACCAATGATTTATTCCCACAAAGTTATCTATTTAATTTGAGAGGATGACAGCAAACATGCAGATTTTGAAAACTACTTTCTTCTTTACAAAAGCGAAGCAATTCTGATATAACCGCAGACGACAAACATGGCAATAGAAGTCAATTTGGCAGCTCCTAAGCAGGCTATAATTATTCTGAAACTTTCAAGAAACCAAGTCAGTTGTTTAGATCTCATTGGTGGATCTGTATTCATAGTTTTGCTGGTGTACCGCAGCGCAGGAAAGCTTGCTTTGATGTGCACATTTTGAAACTAAAGTAAATATATCTTCACCCAGCCTATATGTCATTTCCCAGAGGGCAGACTTTGACAGCTCTGCCAAACAAGCAATCTCTAAATTGCCTGGTGCTTGATAGCGGCAGTGCTCAAGCCAATGAGTAAACTGATGGACAGTCACTCAATTAAAGTGGGCCGCACCGTAATCATCCGCACGTCTGGACACTCTGCGGTCTTGCTGAAACTTGTTTTCTGCGGCACGGCTGTAGTCACGGCCCACATTATCCTAAATAATATAATGCTAAAAAAACAAAAACAAAGAAGCATGGCAACATATTTATAAGTGTAGAATGCGGGTACAGTCTGTATTACTGTGTTCACCTGAATGACCAATTAGATTTAATGCTGATATTGCTCAGACCTTTATTATCTAGAGCACTTTAAGTATGTCCAGCAGGGAAAATAAAGGCAGAAACAAGGGAATGGCTGGAAATGTAAGGCAAATATATTATATTTAGATCATCTGTATGTCTAGGAGGTTGTATAAGTACTTGAAGTGCCTGGGGAATCAATAGCCATCTCAGCAAGACAGAGTAAAACTGAGGGCTGCATTCTTCGCCACGATGAACCACTGACGGTTTTCCAAAAGAGCTTTTAAAGGATGGTTTTGTTACTCTGACTTGCATGAAACCACTTCATTACAGCTGAGACAATATTTGACAGTAATTTTTTGACAAGAAGCCATTTTAGCCATATTAAAGAGGAAGTGTCTCATTAACAGAGATCGCACCACTACCATCGTCAAATTAAAATAAATAGAGTTTCAAACAGGTTTCCTGAACAATTTTCCCATCTTCCATTGGTGGAACAAACAGAGAGTAGCACTCAACACTCAAACCACAGCACCACAGTAGTATAACACTATCTACAATGATCTTACTTATAGTTGTCACTTTTCCTGTTTTGCTTAGAAAAAGTGCTTCAGTCAGACAACTCGACCAGATAATCATTTACATTTTCATACAGGCCAGGACAAGTTTTAATATTCAGAATATTTATATTACATTTGGTAATAGTAATTTTTAGCATTTGAAATGATACTGGCAGACTTTACTCAGTTACAACTGTGTAGAAATGTAATAGAAAACATTTGTGTGTGTACTGTAGTTTAAAAAAAAAATACTTATCTTTTTGTATAAATATATGTATAAACCTGTACATATTTAACAAAACTCATTCTACCTGATACAGCATAAATAATATCACCTTTATCATTTGAATCTCTGTGACAGGGAGCTGTATATGATGAGCCCTTCAGAATATCTGGCCATATGACAAAGAAAAAATTATAGGACTGGCCATATGGCAGCACAGCAACCTAGTTTAAGACACATCTTACCCCCACTGTCACACTTCGATATACTGTTGTTAAATACAAACATCATCCCCATGCAGTGAGATGAGCACTGGCTACAGATACAGGGGGATCCTGCTCAACAGGGGAAAACATCCGAGTAGACACGATGACAGACGAGAGATGGATGGCCACGCATTTCACATCAGTCTCTCTAGTATCTCATTCATTTGTTTTAATCAGCCTGTAAAGACTTGATTTAAGTACTGTACCACATGAGTGGCTTTGTTGTAGAGCTGCATTTTAAGAGGGGAGAGAAACTCCTACATGTTATTCTCTCTTCACGCTGTAAAACACTGAGGCAAAATGTATCAAACCAAACAACAGTGAATGAGGTATTGCAAAGTCAACCAAGATCATTAAAAGAAGTCTTATTTTCTAACAACATCACGGAAGTCTTGAAACTCTAAAATAGTTAATATGGCAAAGACCCAAAAATTGCAGTCTGAAGGATCATCACCTCCTTATGGATGATTCAATATTAAAACATTTAATGATGGAAAAGTCAGAACAGTGCAAATGTTCATTGTAAATGAAAAACAGAGTGGATTTGTGAATGTGTGGAGTGTAATTTTGATAAAGAGGAGCCTTCACTAAATTTGAAACGTGAGGCCTAAACATGCCACGTTAACAGGCCCAGAAAAAAAATCCATTGTAAATGTAATAGAAACAGACTACTAGATAACGGGAAGCAAAATTAAATCATATCGTGACTTACCTCACAGCCTAAATATAAACCCTAATTTGGATGGAAATCTAAAACCTCAGACAATCAATAACTAGACCTGCAAAATATGTAACAGGTCTCCAGAGCGAAGACACTGAAGAGGAGGCAGTACCTGTAGAAATTGATCTCGGGGTAGTTGCCATACTCTGACTTGCGCGAGTTGCGTCTGGGAAATGTACAGAAGAAGGCATTGGCAAGAAGGCAGGCAATTTGTTCTTGTGACATGGTCAAGGACTGATTCATCCTCGTCTTAAGCAGCGGGATTGGCTGTGGAAGAGGAGAGAGAGGCAAAGATAATTAGTTTAGCAATTGACCAAACAGGGAGACAGAATTACATTAAGCAAATGGCCAGGAGTAATTAAGGTGCCCTGCTGTATCCCACCAGCAGCCAGCAGCATTTACACAGAGCGTCATCCATCTCTACTGATTGGACTTAAAGACACTTAAGGGCAGTATAGATGACTAATCAATGCAAACATTAATAAAATGCACATAAATAAAAGAGAGCAGCTGAGCAAGGAGATGTGTTCCTTTTTAAGGGCAAAATACTTTAAATCTTAAATGCAAATAATACCAGTGCCGGATCTTACATAAACACTATTTCATTGGCTAAGTAAGAACTAGCTTGTTGAAGGGGAAACAGACTTGACTTGCCTAAATTTATTAGTGTGTATTGAAGTGAATTTTTTTTCAATGTTAAAAATACCTTCATCTATTCTAGCTTAATGCAACCTGTCACTCTATTAAACATTGTTTCTAAATTGTACTTTGGAGTCTTACAAATAAAGAATAAATACATTAGGATGCATTTAAGAAAATCTCTAAAAGTGTTGTTCTGGTGTCAGAAATTAGGCTGACGGATGTCTAATAGTGGCTCCTTTTCGTGCAGCTCCTGAGGCTGTTGTGCTCATGTGGAAGTGTCCTTCACTAGCCACTGGTTTTACACCGCAGCACGCTGGGCCCATTGACCTTTACCAGCCAGACATGATTATCACTACTGATCTATTTCTGCCCCAAAACCTGAGTGTCTGTCCCAGCCAATGTGAAGGACACCATATGACTTTGTATGCCTTACCTGGGTGCAAATCTTGGGCGTATCCAAAACCAGTTTCACCATCTTTGGCAATGTAACGTTTAAGAGATGCTCTACTTCATAACTTTCCATACCCTGCAAGAGAGACATTAAATGTGTTTCATAGCTGCAGCTGATAGAGGTCATTCACTGGATAAAAACAAAACAAAAACAAATGAAGAAACAGGTCTGGTCATACTTTAAATGTACACTACCATTCAAAATTGTAGGTTCTGAGAGATTTAGTTTTAAGTCTCGTATACTCACCAAGGATTCATTTCATTGAAGATAAAAGTAAAAGCAGTAATATTGTGAAATATTATTTAAATTTAAAATGTATGTTTTTTTTATTTTAATAGATTTAAATTTTAATTTATTCCTATCATGGCTAAGCTGAATTTTCAGCAGTCTTTACGCCACATGATCCTTCAGAAATCAATCTAATATGGTGAATAGGTGCTCAAGAATCATTTCAATTGATCATCATTCAATTCACATCAATGTTGAAAACCGCTGTGCTGCTTTTTTTTCTCTTTTTTTTTTGAAACTATGATGCTTTTTTTTTATTCTTTGATGAATAAAATGTTTTAAAAATATATATAAAATAGAAATCTTTTGTAACAACGTAAAACTATGACTTGATCAATTTAATGCATCTTTGTTAAATAAAAGTATTAATTTCTATAAAAAAATTACTGACACTTTTGAACGGTAGTGTATATTTGTCTATTCATTTGTTGTGACTAAACACAATCTTATGAATGCCTTCATTGCAGTGATACCTCTTGCTTAGAGAACAAATCATACCATTGACTATTACCAATTAAAGATTGACAACATTACCATGTTATGTCCTCAATCTAACAAGAAAGAAAAAAAAAATCAAAATGTCAACTGTCTGGTACAAAATAGAATAAATAATGAAGCCTTTTCTCTTCTCCTGGGGCTAAAACAACATTTAATGGAAAACAACTGTCAGAAAAAAGCCATATTGTTGAATAAGACACTTGAACCCAGCTGTCAACTTGTCATAGACAGTATTATTCAGGTGTCAGAAAAAGAAAAAAAACGATAGGACACCATGGTGTCAGAATGGCATCAGTAGGTGAACAAAAATTATTTGCATTCTGGGCAAATAACTTTAGCAAATAAAACGCATAGAGCCTGAGGTGCACTAAATAAACACAATAAATGTAATATTAACCTTATCAGTGGAGTTTCTATGGGCAATCCCAGCAATCATTGTATCTCTCTATTGCCTGGAGCATCAAAACAGCTGAATTCAGGGAGTTTAATAAATAAAATCCCTTGGTTTATCAGTGTAGTCAGTGCAAGAAAAAAAAAAAATCTCACTCATATCCGCAGAGGTAGTAACAAAGCTTGATCTACTGCACAGAGGTTACAAAAACGTAATTTTGCAGAGCTCCCACTGGTGTATGACTTCACTGAGGTGGAAATAAAGACAAAGCCCTCACTGCACTCACCAACGCCACCATAGATCTCTGATCAGACAAACAGCACTGCTTTGTGATATTCATTCTGACGCTAAGGGTGTCAAAACCGCATACGCTAGCTCAGCAACCCTTTATGATTTCAGCAAAAATAAATACGCTACTGTTTTATCATCACACAGATTTACAACACACTTATTTATAAATATATTGGCTGCGATTGGCAGCGCGCTCAGTCATGGGCCCCATTTCATCAAGGTTACTGGGTGTGCTCAGCTGATTAAATGGGATTCCTGGAACAGATGCAAATGGATTGAGGAAGGAGAGGCGCGGGCTCTTCTGGACGGGAAACCTTGTCTGACAATTTAACCAAGGAGCATTTATACGCCCGCAAAGGAGGCCTGACTAAATGCTGTCATAAGTAATGACCTGCTTGACATCGTAAAATGCTCCTCTGGGTCTAATAAGTGAGGAGAGCTGACAGGCCGGATGGGCCTGAGCTGAGGTTGCAGGAGTTAGACCTCACTAAATCAAACGACCTCCTTCATTCCTCTTATCCTGCCCAACCAGAACCAGTTATATAACATACTACAATCTCCATCAAAATACAACCAATAAGAATTCTTAGGGTGGACAAAGTCATTATTTATTTTTACTTTTTTGATTTGTGAGTGTATAAAAGGAGAATAAATAGCAGATTTTCGATCTTGGTGAGGTTACATTATGTGTCCATGACATATTATGTTTGGCATTTTACACAGAGTTGTCTGGGCATTAATGGGATAGTTCACACAAAAAAATTAATTTACTCCCCTCTCATGTTGCTCCAAACCTGAATGACTTACTTTCTTTTCTCCAAAAAACAAAATCATATATTTTCAAGAATATTTCAACTATTTTTGTCCATACAAATGAGAGTCGATGAGGAACGCAACAACATATTTGATTTTCATTGTGTGAGTGTGGGTGGGTGATTAGGGTGATTCATATCCTGTAAACCAACCAGAATTTCTCACTTGAAAATCAACCAGTTTCATTCATAGCATGATTTACATAATGAACATTGTTCTGCAGGTCACTATGCTTACACAAACACACTGATGGCTGCAGGGAATCCCAGTTCTGAGACACTGAAATAAGATGGTTGTGTAGACGAAGGCATTTGCGGAGGGCTATAGGCTTGAAGTGGAGTTCTGTGCACTGAGCCAGTAGAGTGAATTTATCAGAGCCCACTGCTCTGACACTTTCATTTCAGGGTAGGGCTGAGGCTCAACTACAATTTATGACAAGACAGTTCCTAATTTGTATTTTGCTGCTTTCCATAGCCATTACACCTCTGTTGTCAATCAAAATCCAGGGAGGTGCTCAAGTTTGTGACAATTATTGGAGTCCTGCACAATTTTAAGACATCAGAAAGGCTTTCTATTTGCACATCTTGTAGGGACGATGTGGTATATAGTACGCTGTAAATTATTCTGTTGTTCTTGAGCTTTGATTGAAATGTGCAGAATATTGCTTTAACATCTTTGTTTCACCACAAATTGCTGGTCAACTTCAATATGCTCACATCTCAGCCACCAAAACCCTAACCAGATTCAGGGGAAGTCAATTTAAATATTTAAATGATCATTACTCATCATTACATGAGACTCCAATAAGACAAACACCAATCTAAAAATGTGTTCAGATGGACCGATAGTTCGGTCCAAATGAAGACGACCACTTTCCGTCCAACAGAAACAGTGAGTCACAAAGGCAGTTACCCTCAAAAAACACTGATGACATCATGCTAGGCAGCAAGCTTTGCTCAAGCACTCATAAAGTGCAATACTGTATCTAGCCAATGTATAACTAGAAATCACTTGAGTAATGTAAATTCACTACAGAACCTTCCATAACTTCCTTTGATATTTCCAAGGTTTCCATGACTGTTGGAACCCTGGATGATTATTGGTGCATTTAATCACTGTACATTTAATGTTTATATATTCCTTATTTCATATTTTAAACATGCAATTATAAATGACATTATTATGACTAAAAATGATATTCTAAATAAAAAAAATGACTAAATACAACGACAAGGCCTGCGCTACTGCTCCATTACACTGCCAAATTTTCAGTACGACCTGTATACAGCATTGCGTAAAGACGCCTTTATACTCTGATGTGGTCTTGTTGCGTTATATTCTGCTGCAAAAAACATTAATTGACAGTCTAGCACAAGCACATATTTGACATGCACAATTCAGAACTCTCTTACAGTTATTAACTGACCGCTGTTCAGTGATGTTTCATTTAATCTCTTAAATTGAAAATCAATTGCCAGCTCTCCAGGCTGACATACCAGTGCCCTCTGTTGATGCAGGGAAATAAGACAGCTGGCACAAGCACAACTGTAAGAAAGGATTTAAATAAATATTTATGCTTTTAATTATAATGCAACGATATACTGTGCATGATATTGAATAATACCCCAGACAATTAGAGAACGGCACTAGTACAAATCCATAAATAACCATTACACAGGGGAAAGTATGCACGTATGGGCACCAGCATACTTAACAACAGCTTCAAGCGGTGAGAACGACACTACATTAATTCATATTTACATCAAAATGTATAGATAACGAGAGCGATTGTTCACATTTATGCACCTCATTAGTGGGGACGGCCCTAAAGGGTTGATGCTTGCTCACCGGATAGAGTATTATGGTAAAAACAGAGAGAAGGAAAAACACTGAAGATGCATCGTGCAAGAGCCAAAGAGCAAAGGCACAGCTCAAGCTCTTAAGTGGACAGTTTAAGGAGCCGGTCCACTCAAGCATGCTTCATTAGAACGCGGTGCACTTTGCTAATGGCTTTGATTGGCTCTCTTATAGATTTAATGGCTCTGGTTAATTAAATTTGATTCAGCCATAAAAGTCACAGACAGCTATTGATTTACACAGGTCTGAGATTATTCTATCAAATCATCTTAAGCATGGAGGGGCCATTCTGACATCTTGAATGAAGCCATAACTATAAGAAGAATACCACTGTAATAAAGAAATGGCTTTTGACTATTAAACAATGTCTGCCATAGCACCCTGGAGAAAGAATGCACACACACAAACACACACAGAACTAAGGTGGTTAAAGATGTGCTTGACTGTGGGTTTAAACTATGGAAAGCAACATTACCATTATCAAACCAGCAATTGTACATGTATGAAATGTGTTGTCAATTTGGATAAGAAAGTGTCTGGTAAGTTATCTACAAAGAAGTGTCTGCTAAAAGATCCATAAAATCCTATGCTTCAAAAACATCCTCATCCTCAGTCATGTAACAATAATATAGCATAATGAAACTGGTGCCTGGTGGGCAAGAGGTATTGTCAGGACACTGTCTGATAATTTTGCTCCACCTATAAGTTACACCCAGTGATCGAATCGGGCCGGTAATCACCAGTATCGGAAAGTAAGGTGCGGTAGCTTGAATCACTCTGCTCCCAACCACTAGAATTATTTGGAAATAACTTTTACTGTACCTTCTGATCACACAGCAAAAGAAGTGATGATCTTCCTAATTCTTGTTATCCAGTGCAAATGTCTGAATATTCTTAATGTCCCCATTAAGGGGAGTTTTTTGCCTTTTAGTATGGATATGTTAGCCTTACTGTTATCTATAAGCTAGTGTGCTCCAATAAAATGACAAAATTTGCATTTAGAAGATATAAGGATTCAAAACGTACAGTCTCTCACTTCCGCCAATATGGATCAATGATTTTGATGAAATAACTCTGTCTGCACTTTAGCTTCTCATCAGATTTTATGTCCAATCAAATGCTCTCTAGAATAAAGTGCCCACCCCTTACATCATAAATAGACGCTGATGCTGCAGCTAAAATCTGTCACTTGTTCACACATTTACTATTTTCTACATGGTGAATGGCACATAGTGCACTATATAGGGGATAGGGAACGATTCAGAGTGTAAATATGCTTTCCATTGGGGCAAATGAAGTCTGGTCTCACATTAGTGTCACGCGAACCGCCGCAGCACGCGCGCACAGTCTGCTCCAGTCCAGAGACGGATCATATACCAGAAAACGTATCTGACCATTTGAATTCTGCACAGAATGCTATATTTTAAAGCAATATGGAGGAGATTAGGAGGAGAAAGGGTTAGAGATTAGGAGGAAACTGCGGCTTTATCGTGGTCAACGGCTCTGGCCAAGCTGTGATATAAACTAAATGCTATTGGCTATTTTTTTTAAAAGGAGAGGATCTGTTCGATATGTCCCGCACTGTTTAAGTGGAAATTACGTCAACACATTGAATAATGTTGCGCGTTTCTAGGCAGTGGGCCTTTGAATCTTAGATGTATTTACTAGAGATACAAAATGACAAAATGTTTTCTGTGAAACAGATTAAAATGAAGTGAGTTTATGATTAAAACAAGAACAAATATCTACCAATGGGCTCAGAAAAATCAACTTAATTCAAAGGGAAGTTTTCATAACTTGTTTAAGTTTTCGATATTTGTTCTTGTTTAGCATAAAGCATAAACTCGTGTCATTTTGATCCATTTCACAGAAAACAAGACTTTTCAATTTTTCAAGACTTAATTTTTCATTTACATCTCAAGAAAATCTATCTTGATTTAAAGATGTTTAGATATTTGTATTGGAAAACAGAACAAAAATACTGAGGAAGATATTCAATTTTTGAAAAGCATGCAACCTTTAATGTCACAATTTTATGAATTTAAGACTTTCTGCTCTAATTTAAGCACTTTTTAAGGGCTTTATTTGTGTAAGGGAGAATTAAGACTTTTCAAGACCCACAGAAATCCGTGCAAGCAGCTTTCTGTTGGTCAACAAGGTGAATGCAATTTTATTAAGAGAAAAATAGTTTTCAGAACACTGATTTGTGCCAATATTTTCCACTAGTGACAACTCAAGCAAAAACAAAAACTGATGTAAAATTCATCTTCTGTACCTACACAGTTCAAAAAAATTTGCAAACTGATGTACCAAGTTAGCCAAGATCACAAAGAACAAGTAATGTGGCAAAAAAAACAGCCAAAGGGCCCCAGTTTAAGTCAAGCTCTTTGTGGAATAAGAGTACTCAACCCCAAGCGTTCTTATGTCATCTCCCTATTAGAGCCACCATCAAGACCAGCTTCTGGCTATGTGGAAGACCGTGGTCCATCTGTTGAGTGTGTTTATTTGCAGTAAACAGGACCCTCATCTCCCTGGCCTTCCTCTGCCAGCTGCTGCTCGTTATGCTGAGTGCCCACCTCTGTCTTAATTGACTACTGCTGGATGCAAAGAGACCCTCGGGGACGAGGTAGCAGAAGTGGCAGACGCGGACTGCTTGGTGCGCATCCACTTGGAGGCTAACCTGCTTCTCTTTGACTGAAGAGCGTAATTCCTTTGGTGTGCCAGTAAATTCAAACCAGTCAGACTAAACAATGATGGAACATTTTCAGTATCATGGGGCCTTCTGGTCCTAACTATGACACACCACAAGAAATCTGACTTTAGCATGCTCATTTCATTAACGCCATATAGCAGCTGCGGTTATGATACAGATCGTCAAAAATGCATCACAAAATGAAATGTAACCAACTGGGGCCACTTGACATACTTAAAGTGTGTTTTTTTTTCTTCTTCTAGCACTGGCAGAGTAGCCAATTAATCTGCCTTTATCATTGGATTGTGTTTTACTGTACAAGCATAATGTAAAACTGAATTACTCATTATTTGTGCATGTACAGTTTGTTTAAACTCATTAGTGATTTGTGCAAGTTGTAGATTTAATTGATTACTTTCTGATTTAATTTCCACTAATGACACTATCAAATGCAAATCAACCATCTGCATGCACATTATTTGAGATGCTTTGAACTGATCCAGATGGGGCAAGTCAAATGGTTCGTACATTATTACATGATGAAACTTCGGCACAAATCCAATGGACAAATGGACACTAATTTTTTGATCATCTCTATTTTACACACACACACACACACACACACACACACACACACACACACACACACACACACACACACACACACACACACACACACACACACACACACACACACACACACACACACACACACACACACACACACACACACACACACACACACACACACACAAAAGGCAAAACAAATGTATTCCTTACCTTTTCGCAAAGAAGGTTCAAAGCTGTGAAGTCCCATCTTTTAGCATGCACTGTGTTGTAACTCAATATTGCATCCTGTAAGATTATGAGTGCTAAAACATTAATTTCCTTTTTTAAATATAAACCATTAAAATTCCTCAAAACCTCAAATTTGTAGAAACTTTACATATCTGAAAAAATATATACCACTGAATCACATTAAAATAAGTTAATACAACAATTTTGGTCAAACTATAACATTTATAAGACAACTAGAGCCAAGAAAAGCACAAAAAAAACAAGAGTGTTTTACATCTTGGAGCAATTCTGCCACCCTCTGGTGGGATTCACTTACTCATTTAGCAAAACTCTTACGTTTAGGCATTATACCTACACGTGTTGACATTTGACAGTTCATTTCATTCATTTTTCAAGAGATAAACTAAAACCTACCCTAATGTCATGCGAACGTTTAAATTCTCTTCCCAAAGCAGAGCGAATCAACTTCCATCGACTTTGCACTACACTTCCATCCTAAAAAAAAAAAAAAGACACACACATCATATATAAACCATATACACTATACTGCTCAAAAGTTAGGGGTCAGTAAGAATTAAAACAATATATATCTTTTTTTTTATTCAGCAAGGAGTAATTAAATTGATCAAAAGTGACAATGAAGACATTCATAATGACACAAACGATTTCTATTCCAAATAAATGCTGTTCTTTTGAACTTTCTATTCAATTATCTATAACAGTAGTGTATGATGTAATTCTGTCAAACAATCATTTCACATTAAGGTAAATAAACAGTATTAGCTATTCAATAAAAAAACACTTTCATATATAGTGCAAAGTCAATACAATTTAAACATTTTCTTAATGGCACGATTAACCTAAAAAAAGACATCACCTCATTCTCCACAGGAAACAGGTTATGTTCTGAACAAGGCATCTTTACAGTCACATCATCCCAGAAATCATGGTATTTGCCTGGATATGGAAAGGGGACGTGCCCTTCTTTAAGCAGGTCTGTCTATAAACCAGAGAAGAGAGAGACAAGGTATTTAGCAATAAATTTCACCTTTTAATCACTTCAAACAATTATTTAATCAGGTAAGTATGTCATTCTAGTATTTTAAAACAAAGGGGTTTTTTTTGCTTTCATTGGTTGCTTCTAAAAATGTATCAATTAAAAAAAAAAGATAAAGTCTGCTACAGACTCAAATACTTGTGATGTAAAATCTAAAGTAAAAACTAGTTTCTGTAAGGACAATTTAAGTACTATCCGTCTTTATTATCCGTCCGTTTCTTTGAAAGGATCCGAAATCCTTTCAAAGAAACATCAAAACACTGAGTTCTATGTTGTGCGGGGAAAGCGTAGAGCTGCTTGGACGTCCACAGCGGTATTATTCTCAAACTGACAGGAAGCCCTTAGGCACTGGCTGAGAACATCACAGTGTCGCTGTGAAGAGCAGCGTGGCTTACCCTGATGAGTATTTTGTGATAGTGTGTTGCCCTGAGGTGTGGCAGGGTCTGTCCACACTGAGGCATTCTTCTAAGCTCCTCTACTGGGGTCCCGCGCCGTTTCGACTCTTTCTGCTCTACTGACACTTGCTGACTAGACAACCAACAAATGGTGTTACATGCATTGTTATAATTTATTGCATTATAATGGTTAATTATTAAATATAATTGCATTATTATTGTCATCCTGTTTATTTCATATTGTCATATGGTTTCAGTGATATCGGTTACTGGATTTATATCAGCTGATATAGGATATTCAATTGTACAATGTCATTTAGCCAGGTTTTGCATTTAGATTACCTATGCAGTCACTTTAAAAACACTTTTAATAATTTAAAAGCATTATTAAATGTATGCTACCATTCAAAAGATTGGGGATCAGGTTTTAAAAAAATATTTATAATAATACAACTTTAATAGAGATCTTGTGCAGCAAATCAGGATATTAAAATGATTTCTTAAGGATCATGTCAGTGACACTGAAGACTGGAGTAATGATGCTGAATATTCAGCTTTGCCATCACAGGATTATAAATTGTACTTAATTTACTCAAATATAAAAATGCTATTTTAAAATATATTATATTTCACAGTATTAATGCTTTTACTGTATTTCTGTTGTTGTTTTTTTTAAATGAAGCCTTGGTGAGCATAAGAGACTTCTTAGCAAAAATCTTATCAACCCCAAACTTTTAAACAGTAGTGTAATCTTTAGCAAATCTCAAAATGAAAATATATTTTTCATACTGTTGTGATGTCTAAATTCATAGATCATGTTTTTTTATGATCTATTTCAACAAAATGGTATAGAACTTCAATAACGGCCAATATACAAAAATAATTATCAGTAGCAGCCAGACTTTTACTATTGGTGCATCCCTAGTAGCTATATTTAATTTCAAAACCATTTTCCAATTAAGGAAATACACAGCAATATTCCCAAAATCACAATACCTTTCTGAAGACGACGTCGGTGCCTGGTTACTTTCAGGCTCAAGCTTATCAACATTTTCAGGAACAAAAGCACCAGCACCAGAGCTTTGCCCCTCTGTATCATCCGTTTCCATGGGTGTCACTTCAGATTCATTTGTGACATTCTCTACAGCTTCTAGACTGGGGATTGGGGGTTTGGGCTCCTCTACTGGGCCAACTTCTGAACGGGACTCCGGCAAGTCAGAGCAGTCAGAAGCGTTTTCCTCTGAATTGCTGGGCAGAGGCGCTTCGCATGCTGGACTCATCTTCACATCTACGCTAGGTGTGTCACTTGCATTTACGGATAAGATCAGGTTGGTCTCTGAGCTCTCTGTAGACAAGCAAGTCAGCTTGCCCAGGTTGGCATCTGGTGGGTTTGATTCAAATGCCTGTTCTCCATTGCTTGGCTTCGTCAGACCGCTTGCATCATTACTACTGCTGGCATCTCTACAAGCGATGGCCTTTGAGTCCATGCCACAGTTTGGCAAAGAGGACTGTATCTGGTCCTCCAGATCATCATTCTGGTCCTTACATTTTCTTAATTCACACAGCTTATCAATTTCACTCACGGTTGCTGGACCACTTTCCTCCATTTCACGCCCTAAGGCCTCGGTAAGATCACTTTCTGTACCCTCAGACTTTGTTACATCGCCACCCTCACAGCTGTCAAAGGAAACAGACAAAATGCTTTGGACAGAGGTTTTTTTACCTATTAAAAAAACAGAAAAATAAAACCAACTTACCGGTTCAGTTCTGAATCCATATTCACTGTAAGCACACTTCAAGCCAGACTACTTGCTGTAAAAAGAAAAGTGAAACTTAGGTCTTAGAACTGAAAATAAAAGTTATAGTTACAGTCAGACCTACTGAAAAAAAAAAAACATCTACAACTGATGAGCCAGAATAATGAAGGGATTGATGAAAAACAAGAAAGCTGACATTTCGAATGGAGTTACTGTAAAAAGTGAAGCAGGCTAAATGACAGTCTGCTTCCCATTTATTCACCAAATTGAAGTTTATGTATGTTTTTAGTATATGCTGTGGTCTCGAATTTTTACATAAAAAGTTCGGCAAGAAAGCCAAATATCGCCCACTCCTAATTGTGTAAAATAATCGTGAGAACGTGATTATATGATTTTTTGTGTGTGTGTGTGATTATAAAGCAGCCCTAGTTGAAAAAGCCTGATATAAACAATTGCATCGCTATTATATTCAACATTATATGCTATTGACTGCTAGATTAGTGCAGATGACATACTGGGTTGCTTTACAGTATGTATAAATAAGATTCATAATCATCAGGTTTATTTTGTTGTTGTGAATGGCTAAGCTAACTGAGTGATAACAAAAGGCAGGTCAGTGTTTGCATGGATTTATAGGTTAATATATCAGCCTGGAAAAAATCTCACTATAGTGTGCAATGCATCTATTAGATTCATATGTATTATCACCATAATAACACCAATAACTGTAATAAAAGCTAAAACACACACCCGTCTATCAGATATCTGAAGCCTTCAAATCAACAGCACACATTTTTAATACATTATAGGTAGCCGCCATCATTATTGCTAGAAAAACAGCAATACTGTTTCAGTACTTCATGCTAATATTAGTATATAAGACAGGCTGGTTTAATGTCAGACTGTTCGCTTTGATCACGCATCAAACAATCATACTTGCACTCTTTTTCAGCTTTGTCTTCGTATCGCTGTGCACACATATTCGAGCTCTTTTCCACCAGGCAGGGAAATTGCACCTATGAAAAAGTTTGCTGCTTTTATCACACTATCCAAGACAGAAAGACACACTGAAATATAGAATTAAACACGGACTGGTGAAGGAGGCATCAGTTCAGTTCCGGGTCGTAAAGTTGGCTGCTGATTGGGTAGATTCTTGTCACGTGATTGAAAGAAAGACGTTTTGTTTATTCAAAGTTCAAGAGGAGCCGGTTTCCTAGTCTTTCACCGTATCTTTTTCATTGATGTAAGCTATATTTTTATTTAAATGTCATATATATATATATATTTTTTATATAGCAAAATACACTATGTGGGTGGGTCAAAAATTATATAACAACTCTGAGTAAAAGACAGTCCGTCACGGTTTCTTCGGGCCGTAGCGCGCCCCCTTCCGTTACAATAAAAGTAGCTACTTATCAAACAGAAAATAGAGCAGCTCATTGCAGTTTATTCTCATTAAATTTATTTATTGAATTTATTAAATTTATTCTCATTTATTCTCATTGCAGTTTATTCTCCTGAGGTTGACAATCAGTGTTTTCTAAGCACCACCTTAAGTAATTATTTGTGAAAAAGGGGAAAAAAAATTAGGTTTTTTTTCATGCAAATGCAAATTAATTATTACAAATTGTGTATTATCAATGCAATTACTAATTATAATATAATGTTTGGTATCTGAACACAACATCAAATAATACAAGAAATAATTGTTTAATGAATAATGAATGACAAAGGAGCAGATACAGAATGGTAAGTTCTACAATGCACTGTATAAATCCCATAATTACTCTAATAAACTTTTATGAATATAAAAAAACATAGTAGGGAAATCAAACAAATATAGTGCAACTTCTAGCAGCATTGTAATCTGTCAACCCAGTGTTGTCTACAACATTTTTTTAAAGAATAGCACTTGGAGTATGTTATAGCTTCAAGTATTTTTAGACATAAAAAATAGAGCAAAATACATAAAAATAACATTTCTACTGGTTCTCCATTGACTGTTTCCCACTGCAAGTTGCTGTTCCAATATCTAGAAATTTTCCATTTAAAACGGCTTCACGATTTTCATGGAAATGTAGTTCTGGAAGAATAAAAGGGCAGATTTAGAAAATGCAAATCACTTAGTTACTTTGAGAAAAATAGAATGTGCTCATTTACTAATGATACTATTTGATAAAGACTTACAGGGAAGGAATATAAGAGGATTCCAATAAACAGGATCACCAGTGTTAGAATAATGAGTCCAATGAAGATCCATTTGAATCTGCGCCATATGATGAACTTCATGGTCTTGCATGGATTTGTGAACCAAAAGAAAGACGTATCTGGGCGGCTGTTTACATATATTACAGAATAAAGTATTACTCACATCATCTAATTAAACATGATACTGAATGACCAAACACTGATATTATCATACTTTGGAGGATCTAGTTTGGGGTTCATGTTGGGTTCATCTCTTCCTTTCCCAGCTGGCCTCTCATCTGCCTCGTTCTCTTCCACCACTTCCAAAGTCATCTCCACTTTACCCTAATCCCACAAAGAGAACGGTCTTTACTGTTTGTACCATGCATATACAGTATGCAACATGTCATATATATTATTTTTATCCATATGCTTGCAAGCTTCACTCACAGCCAGGATTGTTTTGCCATTTTCCTCCATGGCACAAGGCCACCAGCCTCTCACTGACTTCTGGGAGAAGAGTGATGTAGGAGTGAGGTTCTTGCCTGTTTGTGTTAGCATGCTTAGAGAGCACTTTTCAGGGGTCTTAGCTGGAGGGATGAGGTGAAGCATATCCAGCTCCACCGTGCCTGTTTAAGAAAGCAGTGATTTTTAAAAAATCGGATCCAGCAGATGATATACCAATTCCCCAAAACATCAAACTTACCATCAACATTTCTAAAGAAACCCAAAATATGCATACACTCCAAAAAGAGAAAGAGAAAGATTAACCCACGTCTGGTGGGTACATATGTAGATTTGAACAAGAGCATTCACCTAAGTAATCATCCAGGGAGAATTTGTCATTGTCCCAGATCTGAATGATCAGTTTAGGAGGGATCCTGAACTCGGTTTTGTCAAGACTCCAGAAGTGTTCCTGGAAATAAAAAAACAGGGTTCATTGTGACTATCAATGAATGAAAACACTTCATGTAAAATGTAGTTACACTTTTTCAAACCGCTAACCTTTGTAGACACAAGACACAACTGTTCTGCTGGCAAATAATCAAAGCCAAAGACAAATCTCCAGTTGAAATTTCCATCTCCATCTAGAGACCTGTAATGGACGTCAGTTTTCTGCTTGTCCTCCTCCATACCTGGCATCCACCTATTAAAAACATATAATAATAAATATAAATAAATTAGCTGTTTTCTATTTTATTATATTTTAGAAAATATAATATTTTATTATAAAAATAAAAATTATCATTATTATATATTTAAAAAATGATGGTAAACCTGTTTTTTTTAGCAGTGTCACATGATCGTTCAGAAATATTGTGCTGCTTAATGTTTTTTTGAAAACCGTGATACATTTTTGTAGGAGTAGAAAGTTCAAAGGAACGGCATTTATTTAAAATTGAAATATGTTGTAACATCATAAATCAATTAATTGAATCCTTGTTGAATAAAAGTAATTTCTTTTGAATGGCAGTGTATTAAAGAATTCATTTTAATATAATTAATTATAATTAATCACAGTGATTACATACACAGTAAAAGTGACTTACTCCAAAATGATTATGCTAATATTATCATCAACCTATTACCCTTTCACATAGATGTCACTCATGTTTTCTCCTGTGATGCTGGTTTCATCCAGGATGACTTCAGTTGTATTCCAAATGATGGCTCGCAGTAAATACCTTCAGTGAAAGGGGACAGATTAGAACTGCAAAAACAAACACATAGTAGTTTTACTAGATGTGAGGAAGATTAGATGGTACTTTTTAGGTTTGCGAGGAGTGATGACACAAACGGGTCCTGGAATACCAAGGTTTTTGGGGAATATTTCAACCCACATCTGGATTTTGCCCTGCAAAGACAAAATAAACATGAGTGACACAGAAGGTACAGAAGGTACAAGATAAAATCACTGCAAAGTTGAGTATGTATTAGAAAAGCTGGGGATGTGGGGACTGACTTGAGAGAGTGTGGGCTGGTAGGAGCTGTACAGGGTCCTGGTCTCCACATGCTCTGGAACCAGGCCTTGCCTTCTCAACACATGCAAGCAGATTCGCTCCTTAGGTGGGCCCAGGTGTTGGTGGATGATTTTATTGGCCTCTATAAGCAAAGTAATATAAATTTGTTTTGTCATCATAAAATGCTTATTTAGCAATATGGTGCTGCAAGTTCCACACCAAAGTAGAAATGCAATATACATCATGTACATTTGTGCTGAATCAGGTAAAACTGTAGTAACAACACGTTGTATCTTTATACTACCATAAAGGGTTTTTTAAGTTTATGTCTTGTTTAGTTTCATAGTTCATAGTCATGTTCTGTTTTGTTTCCTTAGCCACTTTTCCACCATCGGGCCAAACCGTTCTCTTTTTAACCGTTCCATTCCATAGCCGGTAAGGATATGATTTCATTTTCCACAATAGGGCTGATAACGGAGAAGAACTGTCCAACCCGATGGTGGAAAAGCAGCTTTTGTCATGGTTTTCCCAGTCACTGTTTTGCCTGTGTTCTCATTCATTAATTTCATTGCACACCTGTTTCTTTGATTATCTTTCCCTGTGTATTTAAGCCCTCAGTTTCCTAAGTTCAGTGTTCCACATTAATGTTTGTGGTATATGTGTAGCGTTCATGCTCTATTAAATTCTGTTTCATTGTCATTCTGTGTTAAAATGTAATTTATTCCGGTGATGCCAAAGCTGAATTTTCAGTAGCCATTAATCCAGTCTTCAGTGTCACATGATCCTAAACCATTCTAATATGCTGATTTGGTGCACAAGAAACATTTCTGATAATTACAGTGTTGAAAACAGTTGCCCTGCTTAAACATTTTGTGGAAATCATGATGCATATTTTTTTCAGGATTATTTGATGAACAGCATTATTTAAACTTTAACTAAACACAACTTTATTAAACTTTATTTAACTTACTTTATTAAACAAAGTTAAACTTTTGAACAGTAGTTTATGTACATGATGTTGAGGCCCAGGTCTAATGGTTTGAATTAGCATACCCAGTTCATCTAGCCTGTACTCTCGTCCTCCAAAAGACACGAAACTGCCATCATCTGCAACATGAGGAGCAGGAATTCCTCTCATCCTGGACAGATTCTGTAGCATCTGAGATGGTTTGAGCTGGTCCCTCCACTGGTTCACCCCAGATCTTTTTCATATAGTATTTCAAATAGCACTGAGTATATGAATATGTCTAGTAATAGGTTATGGGACTTTAAAACTATTATGAAAAAAGTGTCCGCTAGTACAATAACCACTTACACACAGTACGATTTTGGGATTCCACAATGTGAGCCAAACCGAGAAAGAAGTCGATTCTCAAGGTCTATGACGGTTTCCCCAACCTTCTCATCAGAGCTGAGCAGATCATAATCATAAATGGAAATCTTCAAGTCCTTATCTTGTGGAATGTAGCAGTTTAGTTCAAATACTCTGTGAACATATATAAAAAAAAAAAAAAAAATTAAAAATGGAAAAAATCATAAATACACAATTACATGTATGTAAATGCTTCACTATTCATATTCTCACCTTCCAATATCTGGGTTTAGAGTATTTGGTTTGTAGTGATCTCTGTCATCAATCATTTTCTTTCCCAGAGAAATCTTTATGTAAGGATCACACTTCAGAAAGAAAGAATATGTATATGAGACACACAAAAAAATTCACCAGTCAAAAGATGTAAAATGTGATGCTTGATGAACCATCAACATACTCACCATGCCATTGTTGTCTTTAGGCTGCAGGTCAATGCAGCGTATGATGCAGATTCTGACCAGGCACTCCTGAGGACAGCTCTCAGGCAGCTCCCTAAACTGCCGAGGTGGGTCTGAGACATTTGGGTCATCTGACAAGGGATACACTCGAAACGACCCCTGCGAATGCAGATCATCAAGTAAAAATAGCTTGGTTAGTCCGATGTCTACCACTAGATGGCAGCCTAATATAATTCATTCTCTTAAA